CTCGCCCGTGAGCAGTCAGCTGTGGGAGGAAAAGGTATGGAAGGCCGGGCGGTTTGGCGGTCAGGCGCTCGCCCGCCTTGCGTTAGGCGTGTGGGGAGTCCCATCTGCGGCAGTCCAAGGATTCATAAGCGGCGCTCGCATACATAAGGGGTTTTGCAGCATTTGTGAGTCTGAAAGAAAAAAACAAAACAAAACAAAATGGCATTTGCATTTTTGCCTCTGCAGAAAGCTTTGGTGCTCGGTGTACCAGATGGTTGAGAGCCAGCAGATGGGAGAAACGTGGTGGTGAGCCTGGCGCTCCCCGGTGAGGATCAAATAGACCATCGTTGTATAGATTCCCTCGTGCAATTACCGTTCTTAGCGCCTTGAAAATGTAAACTGCGGGGGACACTTATGGCAGAGTCTAGTGGGGTCGCTTGAGAAGGATTTGCACAGCAGCTGGACAAGCTGATACCCTTCTTCTTGGGTCCAGCAGCTGTCCAAAGTTGTCACCTAAGCGAGTCTCTTATGTACTTAGTTTAGAATTTTTCCTGCTTAAGAACTTAAGATTTAGACAAAGAAGAGAAAGATATTTCGCAGATAGTCAAGAGGTGACATAGATGGTCTGTCACCTCTAGAGTCTTGACCACGTCAAAAGAAGCAATTTGGTCACCCTTGAAGCGTATCTGAGCACACAATAATCCAGAGCAAAAAGCTGTAGATGAAAGCATGTCTATCTTTAAGAATTTAGACTCTTTGTATTTCCTACCATCTGATCCAGAGAACTTACAGTCCCTCCCCCACCTCCCGCACACAATCTATTATTAGAAAATTAGTTGATCTTAGCTCATTTCATCTCAATTTCATTACTTTCTGTTGACAGTACTTCTTAAATGTCCTCTTCTTCATCATCTTCAGTGATTCATATGTCTACCCAAGTAAGCTGGTCACTACACGCATCATGAAGAAAACCGAGTCATAGTGTGAATGAAAACACTGTATCCAGACTGCATCTGCTATTACTTGCCCCCTTGTCAGGGGAGACTTTGCACTTGATTCCCCATCCAGGTCCACCTTTTTTATGAGAAGGTCCATGGAATTGTACTGGAGAAAAGAGAGAACAAGGGCTCAATTTTTAGAGGAGTGAGGTACCTAAATATTTTTGCAAAGTGTGTGGGTAGATAACTAAAAAACTACAGGGAGAAACTTGGGGAGAATGAAGAGGAAAGCTTAAGATGGCAAAAAAAAAAAAAAGATACATTTTTGACGTTTACAACAGGGGGAATGTTAAATCAACAGTATTATTTATGTAGCAAATTTGGGTAAGTGTGTACTATAACCAGGTATGAAGTTGCAAGATAGAAGGCTTAAGACTAGATTTTAAACCAAAGTCATAGAGAATTAGGCTTCAAATGTCCTTCTTCTTTTTGAACTGCCTTAATTCCTTTAAAATCTAGCCCTAATGTAGAGTGCGTTTATGACATGATATAAATAAGATTATTGATCAAATGATACTCTAGCTATTAGAAATTTTGAATTCCAGAGCTCTGTCTTTTTGGCAGCTTTAGTGACTATCGGAACTGAGCTTGGAAGGCATTTTCTGTTGTAATCTGCAAATTGCTTTGTCCTGTTGGGTTTATTTAAAAAGTCTTCCCTGTGGCTAAGTATGATATCGGAAGCAGGGGATTATGGCTTCTTAATGCAATTACTTTGGAGCTGAAGCAGAGCCACATAAGGGGAATAAACTCTATTCAAACATCTGTCAGCCATGACATAAAACAGGAAAGAAAAAATTCAGATTAAATTATATTGCTATCTGATGTTATGTTATCACTGCATTTTTAAATTACATTGAAAAGTTCATCTGGATAACAGTGCATAGCAGGAAGGTGAGGATTTATCTCTTTTCTCTTATGTCACACGGTGATTTAATTTACCGGAATGAGCTTTGCATTTGAAGAGTTTCTTTCATACAGGGATCATGTCTTACCTATTTTTTTTTCCAGAGTATTGGGCTATTGGGTCTTCTGCTGTTTTCTCTTTGATAATCCCAAACCAACACTTATTTATAAACATAATGTCCTTGTAATGCCAAAATACTTCTGAGCCTTAGTGTACAGTGATCGCTAGTGTTTTGGTTTTACATATATTAATGATCTTCAGTATACCAAAACCAGTTGTGTATTTAATTCTGGGAGCAACTAATGACAAATATGTATTCTTCAGATCAAGTGCATCGTTGTGTCCTTCCAGAAAAGTCAGTGGTGGGTTGAATTTTTGAGATGGGATATTCCAGTGTATAAGAGCCCTTATCTTTCATTCATTTTACCCCTGGTTTATGCTAGTTTAACTGTGGATTTACGTGAAGGAAAAACTGAAGCAGTACTGTTACCGATCGGCAGCCTCAAGCCATCTGTGCTATATTAACAATAAAGCCCCATATACATGTGCTGAAAGAAGGGGCAATCCTTTTTGCCTTTGTTAGGCAAATTTTAAATTTTTTGATGTCGAAAGGAAGAAGAAGGACTTGAATACCAGTGTATAACTTTCCTTCAGTGGCACTCATTACTGGTGAGCAATGGAGGATTCAACATTAAGGTAAACTGATGCCAAGGAAATTTGGGAACAGGTAGTAAAATAGCCTTTTTATGACAAAGCCTTCATTCAGACCACTAGCTTTATTATTGGCAGTCCAAGTCTATATAGAAGATGGGGACAGCAGAACAAATAAAGCCTGTCATGTCCCCCCCAGGAAAAAGGGGTTATTTATAAAGCTGTAGCTCCTTTTCTAGAAAGCAACCAGTTCTAGCATCTCAGAGTGTTACTCTGTTTTATCAGTTTAATATTACTTATCTACACTCAGTCTAAATAAAGGTGAGGAACAGAAGTTAAAGTTTGCATTATGAGCTTGATTTTTTCTACGAACCTGTGTCTGATCATCCTTTACACCTGTGAGCCGTGATTGTGAATTGCTCCCAAGTATGCCTCCTTGCTTTTTCTACTGACTTTTTAGAGGCACATATTATCCAGCTGCGGGGATATTTCAATTTTGGCAGGAAGTGGCTGTGTATTAGCGTTTTCCTAGTCTCACAAAAATGTGCCCAAGTACAGCCAAGACTAGATATATGCTCAATAAAATTTAAGATACTACAGATGTATCTTAGTATGCTGCGCTCTGCCCTGCGGTGGGATAGATTTTGTCTGCCCAGCCCACTCACTAACCCGAAGTACAGAGCTGGCAGGAATTTCTATGAGCTGCAAAGTTTTCAGCTTCCCCAGCATGAACTGGCTCAAAACAATTTCTGCCACTGCAGTTCAGGCTGCTGTAGTATAAAGTTAGTCTGGGAAGAGAAAAGATGCTTATTGCTTAAGGTCCAAGGGAAATGGGGTTTGCCTTTGCTTCCAAGAGTCTACATGAGATTAGTCGAGTCATTTAAAACAGACTAGTGACCCGAAACCTCTTTCCAAGTTAGAAGCGTAAGAGTGGGCTGTGCTGTTTCAGACCCAGCTCAGTTGAGTTCATTATTCTCTCTTTGACAGTGGCTGGTGAAGTAAATAATCATGTAAAGACTATACATAATTCATACATCCAAATAGAGGTTGCCTTGGCACCATAATTCTGGTATTTATTAACAGTGAACAGTTTTTTGCACCTAAATGGTGCTTTTTAAACACGCTTGATTTTGAGAATTCTGTGTATACACATTAGGCAAAGCTGCTTGTGCCACCCGGATTAGTAAGAGCTGTTTAATACTGTTCTATTATTAGACCCTGTTTTCAGTTATTTGTACGTTTCTTAAGTTAAGGCATTTGCCTTGAAATTTTCTGCCCCTCATGTTTGCTGTCAGCTGGATTTCTCTGAAGTTTTCAGAAGACTTGTCTTAATTACTTCTGCGGAAAAAAGCATATAAAAAGTTTGCTGTTTAGTTGGTGATAAAAAATTGTACCATTGCTCCATTGCTTTGTTGAGCTCCAAGCCTTCAAGCAAGCACTTGAAATTTGACCAGAGTGTGTGGAAGGAGGATTCCCTTCACTAACTGTCACTTGTGCAGCTCTACGCAAACTAAGTGAAGTTATAGGCATGTGCTTAGTAGATTTTTTCAGAGCTCAGCATGAAAATTCTCTATGTGTGTGTGTGTGTGTGTGTGTGTGTGTGTGTGTGTGTGTGTGTGTGTGTGCACGTACGTATATATAGCCGCCTTCACTGAACATGCTGCACACCCAAACATTGTGCTGTGTACTTCCTCCAGGAAAAGGAAGATGTTTCCTGCAAATGCTTAGGCGTGAAAGCTGTATTCACAGTATGTCTCAGTACAGTTTGGAGAAGTGAGCTATGCAGACTATTTGCAGACTGTTTGGCCAGAGGGAGGGCAGAGGGAAGATCGAAGAACAGAAATCATCCTGGCACTTCAGAGTGCCAGGACATACGGTACACAGGGAATGAATGCAACTGGTGTTTGAGATTTGCTCTAGAGTGTATGAGGCAGGGAACTACAAGATGCAACGATCTCATGGCTAAAGTTGTCAAATGCTGACTTGTAGAACTAAATTATATCCATCTCTCTTCCCTGCACTTCCTGAATGTTGCAGGGCAAATTAGCTAAACCAGTTTTTACTTAATGCTCACAGCTTTAATCAATAAGAACGGTACTTTAAATATTTCAAAGTGCTACAGATCCTAAATATTCTGAAAATCAAGCTTTGAACGTCTTAAATCAGGCATTTAAAATTGGTGGTCATTCCTGATCACATTTGTATCGTTATATTTTTGTGTACTGCTTCACCACGTTGTCAGCTTATTTTGAGTCTTTCCTTTCCTTACAGTCACTCCTGTAATATATTGTTAGGAACTGAGTGCTTTAAAAGGTGAACAGTAAATGCCGTCTGAAGGTGCATGTAATTCATATTTACATCAGTTTTCCTTAATTCAGGTTAAAAAAAAAAAAACAGCAATGCTAGCAGTCCTGTTTGTTGTACTAGGCAAACATCCATATATGTAGCAGAGGTCTGCTGTGTAACGTGCCTGTAAGCAAATAGAAGTTTAAGGATATACCAGCAATTTCCTCAAGACATCATTGAACAATTTTGAACAGTTAACTGTACTAAAATTTAGGTAGATACAATTACTTCACACATAATGTTCACTAATGAACATTATGTTTCTGACATTCTTAAGCCTTCAAACAAAAAGAAACAATATGTTAAAGTTGCTGTTTCAACCAGAAACACAGATACAATGGCTTTTTTAGTGAAAGCTTAGCTTTTGGAGAACTCTCTTTGTGGGCTTGGACTGCTGCAATGAGAAACATCTGACAGCACATTCAGTTAACTGATGCAAATACTCTGAACAGTGCACTTAAGTGAATGGTCTCTCATTGAGATTTGGGGAAGGAAGATTGCTGCTCTGAGCGCTGAGAAGTGTGTGTGCTCTTTCAGGTAGATGCACCATGGTGGATGAGTATTTTAACCAAGAAAAAAAAGTCTTATATAAATAATAACTCAGTTTCCTCTGACAAATAACTCAGCTCCTTTTTTTTTTTTCTTTTTTTCTTTTCTGAAGAACATGATGAGCCTCCACAGTGCAAGGCAGGACAAGATATTGTGCTGCAGTCACCTGTCGACTGGGTGCTTCTGGATGGCCGAGAAAGTTCAGATGACCATGGAATTGTGCAGTATGAGTGGACTTTGCTGCAAGGTGACTCATCTATTGAAATGAAGGTACACATGGAACCTCACACATAGCCATTTATTGGCAGTTTGTTGTATTCATTATAGTTCAATTTTAAATGCAGGAGTAAAAATATTACACGTATGCAAATGGATCTGGCTACCAAACACCAAATTTAAGATGAATATACAACTTGAGCCTTTGTTTCATGTGGTTTATACAGTTCACCTGCATCCAGGATGGCATGAGACAGCCCATGTCAAATAAGTAGATGCCGATATGCTATTGTATTTCAGCTCTGCTCTCTTCAGGCTTTGTTTGTGCTCACTGTAACTGCTTTTTGGTTTCTCTGATCCAGGCCAGAGAAACCCCAGTAATTCAGTTACTGAAAATAATAAGGTATTTTCACCTACAGTTTTCTGTCAGTGTTTGTGGAGAAACTGCAAAGAAATTTGTGATGTAAACCTTACAAGACATAAGAGCTTGCTGAGGCCTCCACCTAGAGCAGGAAGGACATGTCAAAGGGGAGAGGGAATAGATCATAGTCCTTACTATTGCAGAGTAAGGACAGGAAGAGTTTACACAGCACAGCATCGGCAACACGAACAGTCCCAAACCCAGGAGGCCATGTGTGCTCTTGCCACCACAAGCAGTACTCAGCACTTGCCACCTACATCTGTTCAGCTCAGTTACATCAAAGACAAGCTGGATAAATCAACAGTATCGGCAAAGCTCCTCAAGATTTCTAAAGACGGAACAAACCAGAGCTTCACCTAGCACAAAGGGCTGGCTAAAGGCATTGAAATCTAAAATTGTCATCCAAGAGATGAAAAAGAAAAAAAAACCTGAGCAATTGGTTATTTCTTAATTTCCTGCAGGGCAATGTAAGTAATATGTGATTACTGAAGATCACCATGGCAAAGCTAGGAAACAATCTGCTGGATGAACCTTAAGAAGACAGTTGGGTTTTTCTGGTGAATAGTTACTGAAATTTATGCACAAGTAATTTTTTGTAACCATACCCTTTGAAGAAAACACAGCAGGGGTATTCAACAGTATTAGTTAAGCCAGTGCTGCATGCTTCTGAAAGTCTTATCTTCTACTGCAAGATCCACATCTTTGGAAGGGTTACCACATTCAGCCAGTTCTGAATTACTTGATGCTCTATCACAGTTTAAATCTGTCGTGTCAAAGACCACTGTGAGTTGTTTATCTTCATTTATTGTTTAACAGGCTTGAAAATTAAAAGGCCAAAAGGCATTCGTGAGGAGCGCAAACAGCATAATACATAGAAAAGACTTGAATGAGGCGTGAGTAGTTGCTAGATATCATCTGGGTAAAAGGAAGGTTTTATTATCTTGAGTTGTTAATCTGACCCTTTGCAGCATCACTAGCTTTCTTTTGAAATTAATATGTGATGTAGTAATATACCTACAAAAGGAACACAAAAATTAAAAGTTAACTAAAAAATTGTAAAGTTCATGTTTTTACTTTGACTTTAATGTGCTCCATAAAATAGAGACGGTGCTTATGTTTGTTTAAGCCTGCAACATTCACATTAATCTTGGTGATTTCTTTATATTCAGTAACTGAAATCAATTCTGACACAGGTTTGTGCTTAAATAGCTACTTTTCCATTGTCTTCAAAAGAGCAGGGATTTCTCCCACACTGATGTGTGTCCTGATGATTACCATGACAGTTTAATTTTTAGTGTTGAATTAATAACTGGATTATTCATGCGAATATCTGGTGATATAGTTGGTATCCTGAAGTTACTGAATTTCTTGTAATCTATTAGAAAACTAGACGTGAATCCATAGCAAGCAGGGATAATGAGGCTGTGTGTTTAGATAAGATAAAAGGCAGCTGTTACGTTGCACTTATGTACCAAAGAATAAATAGAAGGCACAGGAGGGGAAAGGACTGCTTAAAGAGATCTTATATTGTAGAAGGAAGCCAGTAGATTTTTTGTTTCCGCTGTTGTAACAAGCAATCTAACAAGTTTGCTTGTTAGATTGCTATCTACATACTGTAGCTGCAAAGCTCTGCGACAGGTGTGGGGGATTGTTGTTTATTTTCATGATGATTACCTGGAAATTTACTGTCTAGTTTGAGCCAAAGTTCAGAACAAAGCAGGTACAGCCAGGCATTGTTCGGGGCAGAACAGAGATAAACAGGAAAGCACAGAGGCCCTCAAGAGAAATGGCGTATTCTGAAGCCGGTGGAGTTTCTCTGGATTTTTGCTGAGAAGGGAGTTGGACTCTGTGGCTTATGAGTTTTAAAAATCATATTTGCTCTCCCAGCAACCATGGTGAAGAGCAGCAGATGCTTTTTAGAGTATGTTTAGCTTTGTAATACAGTAAAAAATAAAAATGCAAAGTGTTATATTCTTCATCAGGAAGTGATGAACAGCACAGATAGATAAATGAGTGCACTTGGATATATGGAAAAGGAAAGAAATTTCAGTTAGGAAATTAACAGAAGAGAATTTATCAATATACCCTGCTTTAAAATCCTAGGACTCTATTATCATATTTATTGAAATTTCCTGTTCTTTTCTAGGCATTAAAAGCAAATTTCAGTGAGTAAAACCAAAGCTTTTTATTGAATTTTGGTTTTGATATTGAAGGTATCTGCAGAGGATTTCAGTGTACTTTTCAGTTACTCATCACTATAAAAATAGGCCTGTGCTCTTCACTTGTAAAAATGCGCTAGATGTCCAGTTATGCTTGCTCATGGCCTTACCTATTTTTTGGTAATTATTAAAGTAGGTGTTACTGAATTCACAGACAGCTGGAGTTATTTGTGTGTGTAAACTGTCATGAGTTTAAAAAAGTCAGCATTTTATACAAATATCTTACTGATTCTACACAAAGTTATTGCTACATTACTATTTTACTAGTAATGTCATTTTGGTACCTATTTTAAGTTATCATAAAGGAATTTATTTTACTAAATCTTTTCTGATATAATCCAATATAAGTTGTTCTATATATACGAAATGACTTTCTGAAATCTAATGGTTAGGGCAGTCACCATAGATTAACATACTTGCCAGTACAGAGCAAGCCATGAAAATGAAAGAGGGACGTGGAAAAATTCAGTCCAGACAATCTGTAAACTTGCAAGTCATATATCAAATGTCATACAGGAAAGAAGTAGGCAGTCTTACTAATAAAGCAATGCTATCAGTCACCTTATCAAAAATCAATATATTTTAAAAGGCACTTCTGTCATTAGATATGTATTGGTCTACAGGTTAACTAGATAGAGAGTACAAGGTAAAATATTCTCATATATTACTGGCTACCTTCTGAAATTACATTTCTCGTTACTGAAAAATTGACTGAAATGTACGGATTCCATTTATTTTCCAGTGTTAGGATCCACAGCTCCAGGCAAGTAAGTGTGCCACTGAAAACAGTACACAAATGTTAAGCATATTTATTTTTCCGTGTGGAAAGCAAAAAAAGATCAAACTGTGATAGGCTGATATACATGCTTGAGTGGTTTGGCTAGACTTAAGAGCAGTGTTTAATCTGTCTGAGAAGCACTGGTCACAAAATTTATGCACGGATCCTTTATACCAATATGATTTTTTTTCACTGGGTTTCTTTGATCAGGTACCACAACCAGGAACACTGAAGCTGTCTCACTTTCAGGAAGGTGTATATATTTTCCAGCTAACTGTGGCGGACACTGCTGGACAGCAGAGCTCTGATAATGTCTCTGTGACCGTTCTTCCCATGGTTCATTCTGCAGTAGGTGAGAAAATGACTGAAACCATTGGCTCTATGATGTCCAGGGCATGATATTCAGAGCGAGCGTCCTGATGGAGGCAGAGATCTTATTGTCCATTTCTCTATTACTGTCTCTCCCTTATCCTTTATATAATGACATCTCTCTCAGTTTTGAATTGGTTTCAAATTCAGGAAGCAAATGTCACTTTTTTTCTTAGAGCAGTAACACTTTCAAGCTTCTAAATATTCATCGCTGTATTGCTAATAAGCATGCAGGGTTGGAAAAACGAAATATTGCCATATGTGTCAGGCACATTGTAACAGTTCATTGTATGGTCCCACAGGGTGCATAGAACATGACAGGGCTCATACTATAGGGAAGACCAGTTAAATGCAATTAATAATGTGTGCGACTCACAGATTGATGATAATATTGGCCTGCATCTGTAGTCTAAAAGGTGGGATGGTTTCTTATTTTCATGCATTTAAGCTTTTCTGTTAAATGTTTGTTAAGCAGTTGTTGAAGTTTTACGTTACTGTGAAAACTGAAACTGAGCATCATTTTTTAAACTCTGAGCCTGAGAGACACATAAAAAGAAAGTCAAAAGCATAAAAGATAGAAAGGAAGTTGCATTTCAGTGGCTGTCAGTTTTGGGATCTTTCTTAACTGAAAAACAGCACGTATGCAGCTATGACTAGTGTAATTACTTCTAATTACCTTGTAATTAGCAAGTTGCTAATATAGATCTGCCTTCTGGTGCAAAGTAAAGGTTAAACTAGCATGGTGTATTTGGATATGTTACTATATTCAGCTGAACCAGTGAAAGCTTTACTCTGCGCCAGCACGTTATCTCTACGTTAGAGGGCAGTCCCAGTGGCAGTAAATTGGTATTATGAAAAAACAGTTATGAATCTGTTTAATAATGTCTGTGTTCCAGTAATGGATGATAGAATTGTAGTAATTAATTCAGCTAAAGCAGGCTAAGAGTTTTGCTGATTTATTTGTTGCTGTGGGCATCTGTGATGTCTTTTGAGTGGAGCAAGTAGAGGATTTGCTGCTTTTTCTAACTCCCCAAGTACATTTGCAATTCAAGTGCTCCTGCTATAGTTAAACCAATGCACATGCAGGACCTGTGCTATTATTAGCACTGAAGTTAATGAGATGCATTTTCGAAGTAGGAGTTTTTTTGGTTTTAAAAAGGCAGTACATGTTCATGCCATACCTTCATTAGCATTGCTCAGCTTTTAAAGTTGTTATGGCACGTGGCAGTATAGCAACTAAAGGCTGTGACTTGCTCATGTAAATCTATTTGCTGTTACCACATTAACCAAACACTGAACTTGATAGTGCTTTACAAAGCAATGAAATACACTGCTGTTGGAAAGACAATAGCACATATGTAAACACTTGGTAATTACAAGATCAAAATGGGTTTCAGGAGAGCTTTGAGTATGTATGTGCAATTGTGAAATGTCCAGAGACGTTCTCCATTTCTAGAGGAATCTAAATACTAAAGCAAGCAGCAATCCAGTTCTTTCTAGTGAAGGTCACTTGTAAGATCTTGTGCTTGTTCCTGTTCTGACATATGCTGTATTTGAGTCAATGCATTGCTCATGTGAATAAATGAGGAGCATTCTTTCTTTAGTCTTTCAATTAGGTTACAGAAAATATGCCGTAAAAGAGCCCATAGCTATAATACAGCTCATATGTGTGCATATAAAATAATACACTGTCAGAAGTACAGACTGGGTATGTAGTATGAGTTATGTGTTTGAAAAATGCAGTTAAAGCCACAGAGATCTCATTCATTTGTTTTCAGGGCTGTCCTGAATGTTTTAAGCCTAAAGATCTCCTTTCAGCTTAGGCCCCTAGAGCTTAAGGTGCCGCAGGGGTGCTGCACAGACTGCAAGGTGCTACAGGTTGAGACCTCCTTTAGAAAAAAAGATTTCTAGAACAGCGATGAAGGTGCAAGGAACAGCTCTTATTCATAGCTTCTACGTCCATACAGCGTTACAGAGCTGGGCCAGGCCTTTCTTCAGCTTTCTACTTCAGGTGTGGTCTTTCTTGACATAGTCTGGTTGTACTCTTGCTTGATACTAGAGATTTTAGCCATTGACTGAGTATTTACTGTTTGGATTTCTCATTTGGTAATAAGAGAATTATTTTTCAACAGCGTGTGTTGGGGTTTGCTCTCGCTACCAGTTTATCTGTGATGATGGCTGCTGCATTGACATCACATTTGCTTGTGATGGAGTGAAACAGTGCCCTGATGGATCTGATGAAACTTTCTGCCAGAACCGTAAGTGCACTGTGCGACAAGTTGATCATGAAAGTAATCGTAGACTGTATGACCAATGGGAAATGATGCTTTCTGTGTTCTGTCTTTCCATGAACAATCAGCTTGCTGTCAGTCTAGAACTTTTCACTAGAAATAGTATGTAGGCAGGTTTGATGTTAGTGTATGGCAGGTGCTGAGAAATTATCTCCTTTTTTTCTAAGTATATTAAAACTGCAGAAGTCTCAAAATGACAGAGTTTGAGTTAAAGTTCTCATCATTTAAAAGATCAGTTCTTGAAAGCAATCATGCACCTTACAAAAATCTGAAATGCTTGGAAGTCTGAGCGAACAGGGGAACCAGCTGATCCACTATTGCTCTGTTAGCCTTTGTTATTCATCCTCAGTATGTACTTATGCTTGGCAAAGTCAACAAGAATCAGCAGGGGGCATCAGAGGGTGGATTGGCATGATGGCTAACTACTCTTTCATTACTATTTCATCTGTTGGATTTCACATTAGAGCTCATATGTATACCCTGACCTAATGGCTGACCAGGGGCGATTGGTAACTTGTTATGCAAGTAAAACTAACATTTCATCATATACCTGAACCTGATGAGCTTGTTTAGTCTATCTCAAGGCCCATGTTGCAGGGTCTTCCAACAGATTACTCCCCATTCCATTTAATTCCGTATGAAAATGATTGGTTTTGTTTCTGTTAATCCAGTCAGCCCAGGCCGGAAGACAGTGACTCATGCAGCTCTTGGAACTACCCAGCAAAGGACTGTAGGACTGACTGAAAATGCACATGAAAACTTTTCTGCAGACAACACCCTGAAAACCACTGTAAGAAATGAACTGTTTCTTTCACTGGCTGCAGACATGTCTAACCAATCGCTTTCTCAGGGACCAAAGAAACAAAGCAGTGGATTTGTGCCAGGTAAGAATTGAAAAAAATCAGTTTCAATGAACTGTCTTCTATTCAGCAAGAAAGTGTCTTTTACCTTAAATTTAATTAAGCTGTCCTTTGGTGCCTTGCTAATAGTAAAATTTTGCAAATGTAAAAAAAAAAAAATACAAAAGAAGCATGGAACAGGTAAGTAACAACTCGGTATTGCTTTATAATTGTCTAGTCTCCTTACAGGTGGCAAAAAGAGTTAAAACATGGAAATGCTAAGAAAAGAGTACAGCCTAAGGAACAAAGCATGCAGTGAGCTAAATGCAAAAAAATTCTGCCACAGGTTCAGCTGTATAAGCTGATGTATAAGGCTCTTTAAATCTGTAGGGGGATACCTTCAGTAGAACATACCAAAGTACTGTTCAGCTCAGAGAATATAATTGCATCACTTCTCATGCTAATTGGTGAAGAGTTTGTGGGGTTTTTTTTTCCCCTGAATCAAATATCTTGATTTTTATGGGCACTTCTTTCTGAATTGCATCTCCAGGGCCAGAAAAATCTTTCCTTGTTACAGGGAAGGCTCATTCTTTAATCACAAAACTCCCAAGTCCCCAGAAGTGGTCGCAAGCCTGTTGTGAGTCAGTGTGCAGTAATTTTACAGGCAACAATTACCAAACATTGCCTTAAAACTCCAGAAGCTACAATGAAATTGGTGTGCCACTTAAGGTAGTCAAAGCAGGTGGTTCCCATGCTGGTGATTTAAAATGATCTGAAATGACAAATGAGTGAAATTAAAACTGTGTGCACAGAGCCTTTTTAAAGTGAACGCAAGACCTCCCACTTCTGTTTCTTCAGGATTTAGACTGTTTCTTGCAGCCAGAGATGCAGCTAACTGTAAGCGTAGTTTTATTTTCTTGTTGCACCAGAGCAGTACTTAGTGCCCTCTGATGCTGGCCCTTGTAAAGGGCGCTTCCCTTGTGCACTTTGATGTTTTGTCAGGCACGCACTTGCATTTCATGTGTGGTGGCTGCAAAAGGAATGAAAACAATGTTCTCCAAGAATTTATCTGCCTCAGTGAACGTGTAGAAATTTATAATAAAATTACCTTTCAAATGCTTCCTCCTTTCTGGCAATGTAAATGAACTCAGTGTTCCTTACTGGGATGACTTAAAATTCTTAAGTTTGCCCAGAATCCTTTTGACTTTCGTAGTTCTGAGCAATGCTTGATATGGCACTACCCAAACTAATGTTCAGATCATCCAAGAGCATTGTGAACACCATGGAAATTCAGCTGGAAAGTGGGTCTTAAAAATTGTTGGGCTTGTGATTCTGGAAGTAAAACCAGAATTGATGTATCCAGCATAAAAGTTTGGCAGCCTATGATCTACAATTATGATTGAAACTGAATGCAAAAGAGTGGTTCTTCCGCACAGTCATTTTCAGTGTTTACCCTTTTGTGGGTTATTTGGACAGTTTCCTCTATCAATGTAGCATTTCGCACAGCAGCAGACAATAAAAGGAAAAAATGTAAAATTATTATAAAACTAAAAAAATTGTGATGGGCCATCAGTGATTAGCGTAGTATCAGAAGCTGTTGTAAACTCTTTGATTTTAAACAGGCAAGACTTCCAACTGACCATATCTCACCTCAGTTCTTGTTTTTAATACTGCTCTATTGACAAGGCTCAGTCATAATTTAATCTCATTTAAATTATACTTAAGGATTTCCTTGTAGAATAGCAGCTCACTAACCCAGTAGTCCACTACTTTTAACCAAAAGATGGCAAATGGCACACATGTCAATGCATTTTTAAATAGCTTATGGATCACTTCCAAAGGGGTTGCATGCAGTGGGACCTGAATGTTAGGTATCCAAGTCCAAAGGGCAAAGGCCAAAATCTCTTCTGAGTTGCTGTCTTCTCAAGGAGGCACTTAAACTCCATCAGGGTCACATGTATTACTGATTCCCAGAGGTCTAGAGAGCATCTGGTCCTGCCCCACTGCCAAGCATTGCAGCCTTCATGGACTTGAGCAAACAGACATCTAACTCATTCGTAAAAATGCACCCAGACCCATTCAATTAGGCTTCCCTCAGTCACAGTCCTATCAAGGAGGTTATAAACCAATTAACCTAATAAACCTATTAACGAGGCTCCACAGAAATGCAGAGAGTTACTCTGTACATGTGTGCGTGTTTTATGTTAGAGCACTGGCCCAGAAGAAGAGCTGGATTCAGTTCCCTTAGAGGCACTTCAAACTTATGGAAGTGTCCAGACTGCGCTCAGGCACTCGCCACCTCCCGGCTCAGGCAGTCCTCTTGGTTTGGAGTAATGATAGGGAGAGAAAACAGAGGACAAAACTCTGTGATTTAGTGCTGAGAACGCTTCCCTGGGAATCTTGACTGCTGGTCCCTCCTCCAGGCGTGTGTATGTATGTGTTTTATCCTGTGATTACTGAAAGTAAATACAGTCACTGTGCTCATATACACCGTCTTTGGTTCCCCTGCCTCGCTTGGTTGCGTTAACGTGACCCATTGCTTAAAAGAGAATGACTTTGTTAGGAGGGACGGAAAGACTGGGGCAGTTCTAAGAAGCCCATCAGCAAAAGTGGCCAGGAAGGGCAATAATTGCTAGAAGAATTCTGAAGAGAGGTAAGCGCTGAACAGAAATCATACCAGCAGCCTCAAAAGTTCAGCAAATTGACTGGCACCCTCTCCTGAAACAGTGCGTCACATGGTCTGCTGCTGCCAAGGCAGCACCTGTGCACCTCATAGTCACAATACAATAATATTGCTTTTTGGCTTAGAATGGACTTTGCAAGCATCCAGAGTACTGAAAACATACTGTTATAAATCATTGTCTCATAAATGAGATTTAATACTAACATGGTGAGAAGATGTCTTTTTAAGATGTATATTAACAGGTAATGGCTTTGCAGCAGCAGTGCAGGTTCTAGCTTTTCACTTCAGAGAGCTCCATTCAGCGTCATGTTTTTCTGGTTTCTTAGTTGGCATTTGTAGATTGTCATGGAAATACAAGCTAGGATGGGAAACACGAGTCTTAGTAGATACTATGACTTCAAGGCAGAACAAGTGAAGATGTTAGTGTAAGAGTAATTTACCTGCTGGAGACAGCATGTGGCACATTCTAGGTGGCCATTAGACATGATACTTGCTCCAGGAGTTTTCAGCAAACTTTTCAAGAATAGAAGCTTTTACCAAGAGGTTTCAAGACAGGAGAATTGCTTTGCTTTGTTTTCATGTTTGCCTTTGTTACAGTGGTGGTTACAATGCCAGTAGAGACAGGACCGTTCTGCTACTTAACTTCCCATCAGTAACCTTCATCTCTGAGAAGGAAGATATTCAGCAGAGGGATCTTTTTGTCAGGGATGATCATATTTATCTTTTCTCATTTTTAAAAGGACCATGAGCTGTAATATTTTGCGCTGTTGGAGAACTGGTTGTTCTTCACAGCAGAAATGAAAGTTCTCCGCATATGAGGGTAATACTAGCAAAAAATTTATCCCAGAACCCCTTCTCTCCTAATAGTTTCCCTGTTCCCAGTTTCCCATAACGTGCTTTCTCTACTCTAGTAGCCCCCACTTTTGGCTCTGATTTGGTATAAGCTTTTTGAGGATTTACATATAAGCATGAAATGGGGTAATATGCAAGACCAAGATAAGAGGAGTGTTTGCAACCTCTCGCTCACCTAGCAGGGGATCTATTAACAGTAAAGAAAAAAAAAAAGTCATTCACTGTTGACAATAGGTGAATCTGTTCTGCACTTCTGCATCTCCAGTGGGGTTCTTCCTCTAGACTCCTAGTGCGACTCTAGAGGAGGGCCACATCTGACTTGGAGATTACCCTGGCATGCAGTGCATTGAGCCTTCTGTAACAGGCTCATGATTTACTCTAGTCCAAGCTAGAAGACCAAACATTTTCTTCAGTAGTTGGGAGTAGATGCAGGAAAAGGAATTTAATATCAATAAAGGACTCCTTTCCCTTTGCAGGCACATCTCCAGAGTGAGGTAACCCAGACTGCATCTCTTCCAAAAAGCCAGCACAGCATTTCTGCACAGCTGCTGCCAAAGTGCCCCAGATTTCCTTTCCAGGGAGGCTCTCAAACCCAGCTGTGCATTCTGGCAGTGCTGTACTTGTGAATGAATATAGCAAAAACAGAGTTGCAGCAAAGCACACTGGAGTGATAGCCTGGTTTCTGAGCAGCAATGGTTATTCTAGCAACCATGGTCATGTAGAGAGGTTGAAACTGTAAGCAGCCTGAAGATTTTCACTTCCCAGCATAGCAAACGCAAGTATATAAATCACCGTAACAGCTTTGCGTTCCCCTGGCACAGGATCTCTGCCTCTCTCTAGGCTGCCTATACCAGCTGTTCTGCAGTACTGTTCAGGGATGGGATTACAACATTTGACTGAGTGCCCAGGCCTTAGTCATGTTTTCGCTGCAGAGGCATCAACAGCAGTATCCATAACTTAGGTCTGTATAGCCCTTTCCAGTTACGCTAAATTAAACTGCAATTTCCTAGACACAAACTAGAAAATGAAGAGAAAGTAAAAACAAAACAAAACCCACAAAAGATACTTTAGCTTAATAGTGTCATAAATACTACTAGGCAGGCAAGAAGTCCAAATACATAAAAATTATATCACTTAAGAGAAAAATCTTCCTTTCTCCAGCTCTCTAGAGTTATCTGACAAAATCTCACAAGTGAGCTTAGGACTCTGACTCAAAGCAGCACCAGCAGGATGAATTTCAAGTCGCTCAGAAGGTCTATGTGAATTCCAAAGTGAATGGATTTGTGTCAGAGGAAAACCCTCTTACTTTTCCTGTATCGTTAAAGAGATGCAGACACTCACCATGTCAGGCTCCAGGATGTCTTAGGGATGATGGTTTTTTTTTTCCAGTTGATAACGGATAAGATGTGGAGCGGTGGTCACTCTGATAGCCTCTCCAGGCCGGTAGAAATAGCCAAAAATCCCAGCAAAACTCTACAAGTTTTCTTAAAAGGATTCTGTTATTTTACTACCCTTCCGCATTTTTTTCCACTAGACTTCCCTATATATTCATATATATTTGCTAAATGCCTTTACAAGCAGTTGACTTAAATATTCCCTTTATTCAAATGGCAGAAAAACAAATTTCTAAACCAGGCATTCAGACCTAGTTTTGTCATGCAGGCTAGAGCAGCCTCTAAGAGGAGCTGGTGTCTTTTGGGTATTTCCAAAATTAAGGAAAATATTTATTTAATTGTATTTAGGGAAAACAGAAACCAAAAAAACAGCTGCTGGCTTAGGTCTCTATTACATTCAGGTCATTTTGTGCAGCTCTGATGCTATAAAAGTACCTTAAAGCCAGTGCAATTTACACTTAGCATTTCCATAAGGCCTTTTTACATGCTAGAACAACTTAGAGCACTCCTAGTGTAAATGAGGAGGACTGTAGCTTGTTTCCAGGGCATTTCCTGGCAGGTGAAGTTAGTGTTTATAACACCCTTAACCATAATGACAGGACAATAAACACAGAGCCTGGAAGGCTGTTCTGTAACTTAGAGTGAGGACAGTAGTACTGACCTCAGGGCAATACCAGTGAAACAATTTAAGTGTCAATTAAAAGGCATGGGTATTTGCTGCTTCCACTGGCTAGCCAGCTTTCTGCAGTGCTTCAGAGTGGTTCTCAGTGGGTAGGAAGTGGATGTGGTGTATATTCCAAGCTATTTGACTTAAACACTTCCTTTTAACACCCACCATTACCAGAAATTCTAATTACGATGTTTCACATTCATATTGTACTGATGTTGTAGCACAACATATTCCCACATGCATTGTTATAGCTCTGAGGGCCATCAGGAAATTTTCACCTCATAGCCAAAGTGCGTTTCAATGTTTATGTTACCTCTAAAAAAACAATATAGTCATTATATTTAAATAGGCATATTTCTGATTTTTGTGAGGTTGTTGGTGGATTAAGCTGTCATTCTTGTATTAAGTGGCTCTGAAGCGGTTGGCATAGAACTTTAGTGCAAGGGTAGGAGGAGGGAGTCCCACATACATTACTTTTTGCTCTTGTGAAGCAAAACTACTGTTGTCTGTACTCCCAAGATGAATACTTCTTGGTAGAAAAGAAGTGTGTGTGTTATTTCTTCTTGTGTAGTTAGAAAAACACGAGGAGAAACTATTTCAAAGATGATGAACTAGCCTCTTCAGCTTTATGTAGAACAGAAGATGTAAAAGAATACCGTTTGTACTTCAGTACAAACAGTACTTCAGGTCTGCACCTGTATCATTGGGCAGAGGGCAAAATTAAGGCAATTTGTGCAGCCAAGCTATGCATTTCCTGCTTTACAGACTAGGGGTGGAGATGAACGTGATTTGAAGTGGCCTGATTTTCAGCTATATGCAACTGCTTTAGTAGTGTTTTAGCTCATACTGGTCTGGATCCCATTATGGAAGTTTTTACAGAGAATTTATATCTATCTTTTAATGAGTGGAAATTGACCACACTTGGGTTTCGTTGAAATGTACTGTGGTTTGTGATGCAACAATGAATTTACATTTTAACTTAAATTTCATGTCACTTCAAAAATTCAAATTATACAATAGGTGGCAGCAGTTCTTAGACTGCTTTCACATTATTTAATTTCATGATCAAGACTTCCTGAATCACTGAACTGGCATTATTCATTTATCTTGCTTGACTTTATGCAGATAACACTTCCTCAGGGAAAAGAACAGATGATAAAAATGGAAATGGCATAACTGTGCCAAAGAGAGATCAGCTTGAAGGTAGTCGTCCAGCCCCAGAAACAGGTAAGACTGACCATGTGAATTCCTTTAGAATTAGGGCTCTTCAGTCAGGTGTTATAGACCTAGATATTCTAGTCAAGAATGGAATAGTGTACTTCCATATTCGGAACCATTCTTTACACATATGATCATACAGTATCTTTTCCCAGTGTGAGGTGCTCCAAATATTGGCACATAGCTGATAGACTAGCTGTATTTTTTTAAATAGTTTTCAGATTTCCTCTACTGAATTCTCACTGTGTTAAAAATGTAACCTTTCTTAACCTCTTTGTAGGTGCTGTATTACCCTTGGCCTTAGGCTTGGCCATCACTGCTTTACTGCTGCTTATGGTTGCTTGCAGACTGCGTTTAGTGAGACAGAAGCTTAAAAAAGCTCGACCCATTACATCCGAAGAGTCTGATTACCTCATCAATGGGATGTATCTCTGAAAATTGGATTCAGGTTGCTTGTTTTCTCCCCTTTCTCCTGTATCCATAAACCTCTGCCTCTAAAAAAGGACCAAAATCTTTAGTTAAGTTTCAAATTTAGAAGCCTACAAGATAAGAAACATGGTCTTCCCCTTTGGTGATACAGTAAAAATGTGGGTAGGTGCACGCAGTCAGAAAATAAGCAGTGTTCGGGCAACAGGGAGCAGCTCCAGTTGACTCCATGTAGCAAACACGGCAAGGTGGAGAAACCCCCCTGGATGGGGGGTGCCTGAGCCCTCCCACAGAGCTTAGGGCCCAGGCGGCCGCAGCGCACCCAAGGGCTTGGGGGCCGGAGCAGCCAGGCCCACCAGCACCAAGTCACACTGTCAGAGCTGCAGAGGGAAGCCAGTCGGCACCCTGCCCTGCTCCTCTCAGTGCTGCCAACCTGCGCTCCGCTCTGCCTATGGGGACGCTCTAGAGAAACACGTTACTTTACTGTCCAGCAAAGACTGATTTGTGTCAGTTCCACGTGACACACTGGGAATACTTTCATTAAAGGGGTTTGTTTTGCTTTTTTAATCAAAAGCAATCACTATTCAAGCACCAGCTTTTGTAACAACATTTGGGATTTAAGAAACAAAACAGAACATCTTTTTTCATTCTTAGTTTAAACCTCTGTGCAGCTAACAGAGTCGCACATGCTAAATGCTAAAATGAAAAATACACGTACTCAAAAGATGGGTGTGGACTTACCCAGTGCCAACAGCAGTCATGTCTGATTCTAGAGCTATGCCTGTCCCCAGATCTCATGGCTTTTTCAGCACTTTCCATCCCTAGCTCAACACATTCCATGTTGTGAAAGAGCAGCAGGCAGTGCCTTTTATCTGAGGGACTGGACAAAGCCTTGGTAGCAGAGACAGGATTTGTTCTGTTGGAGATAAAAAGAACGAAGTTAGCATTAGCCAATCTGATGCAGTCAGTGCGACTGCTGCTTCTGCCACCACAGGTTGGGTACTCAGGACTACACGCTCGTGCAGTGTGTTTAAAGCCCTGTCCTGCTTTCCCAGGAGTTCAGGATTCTTGCTGGTTAAACCTTAGCTCCCTGCAAAGCTTGAAAGCTTCAGCAACTTGCTCTCCCACCCCAGTAAAATTCTCATAGAATTATAGCAAGTAATTGATATGTGTGAGTGAATTTCAGATGTGTTAATAGTAAAATGTATACAGTACATGTTATATATACATATTATATATATACCCACCTTGCTGTCTATATGTTGTTTGACTGTCCAAGGATGTCACATTCATCAAGGGTCCCAGTAGAAAAAAAAAAAAAAAAAGAGGCAGATGAGGCATGCATCTTTTTGTATGTCGTCTTTTGTACTTCGGTAACTTCAAGTCAACCAGAATATTGCCATGATATACAAACAGTTCTTCAACTAACTTGCTCGGTCTTGATTACCTTTATGTAAAATAGCTCTAATAAACCTATTTTATTCTTATATTTCTTGCACTGCATTTATTTTCAGCTACCAGCTAAATTTGCCTGTTACATTCCTCTCAACAGGTAAGAAAAAACATAGTATGAGAGCAGGCAGAAGCGTATTTCTCTTCTCTGTGAAACGGCCTTAAAAGTTAAGCTGGAATTTGTATGGCAGACATGTATGTTGTTGGCCCTGAGAACAGGGCCAGGAGCTCCCATCTCCATCCATGACCTGTCCCTCAAGAGCAATACTTGAGCTGAGCGTGACAACAGTAGAGGAGGTAACTCCACCAGCCTGCCAGGGAACACGGTTATCAGTGCAGCTTGCCCAAGGCAATGGACCAGAGTCGTCCTGCCACGTTAGGCCAAATCTAGTTCATACTTCAGCATACGCTGGGTCCAGGAGACTTTCTGCTCATATCCCCTGTTTGAAACTTGTGAATACAGCCTCTTTTCCATCACAGCCTACGGGCAGATGTGGCAAATAGTACAAGACCCAAAAGACTACTTTATAAATGCAGCTTTCTAGGAAAGAAGCACTGCCCATTTCGTTGGTGTGTTTTTTCCCGTTACTGAAAAATTGTTTACTTGTTTTGTTTGGGTTTTTAATTAAACATCTAATCCTTCTTTGCCACCTCCCCTAGCAGCAAGAAACGTAGTCTTTTTTTTGCTGTGCCCGTACTGCTCCTGTTACCAAAATCCCCAACTCCGGCAGCATAGCCAGCAGGAGAACAACAGGTTTGTTTTTGTTTCTCCAGGAAGTACTACAGCTAGCTCACGCACAGCAGAGAGCACAGAGCACAAGCCAGCCAGCGAGTACAGCTGTAGTGAGAGGATCCGCCCAGCTTTCCAGTAGCTTTACCTGACAACAGGCTTTGTCGCAGTGCTGGCGTTAGCGGAATTAACCTTCAGGATTTCGCTTGTGACAGCGAAGAATAAGCACCTCTTGCGGTGTGCAGCATTCCACACAGAGCTTCAGCCAAAGAAGCAGACAGGCAAGTGGCTATCACTATGTTATAGTTGCCACAGTTTTTTGCCAGAGACGTTTCTTTCCACAACGTGAAAGGGTGACGTTTACTACTATGTAGGCCACCAACCCAGGGCCTGTACTTCTTGGGTGGCTGCAAGCTCCACAGCTGGACTAAAATAAAAAGAGTTTGTGCTTTAACCAAAGACCTAGACCTAGACCATCTTCAATTAGATTAGGAGCAAGAAGACAAAATTAGCAAAAAATAACAGATTTGCTTGGCGGCTCATAGAATTAACACACACTGGTCTCAGTACAATTTGCTTTCTACATGCTGTTTGACTTTAAAGGAGTGAGACTGAACTACTGCGCATGAGCAAGCTGAGCACTAGCAGAAAAGGCTGTGGCGAGATACCATTGCTGAAGTGCTGGAGGTACTGACC